AAAAAAAAGGACAGGATCAGTGTGAAGAGTACATGGTCATGTTTTTCTTCCATATTTTTTAATGCAAAAAGCCGAAGAAAACAGATTAGTGTGAAAGCAGCCTTACAACGCCAATTCCAAAAAAGTTGGAACGCTGTGTAATATCGCCATAAAAACATGATGCAATGATTTGTAAATCTCCTTAACCAATATTTTATTCACAATAGAAAATATAAAGCATCAAACGTTTTAAACTGAGAAAATTTGCCATTTTTAAGAAAAAAGGTAATTTTAAAATTGATGGCAGCAATGCGTCTCAAAAAAGTTGGGACAGGGCAACAAAAAGCTAACAAAGCAAGTGGTACTAACAAGGAAGAGTTGGAAGAACAGTTTGCAATGTATTAGGTTAATTGGCAACAAGTCAATAACATGACTGGGTATAAAAAAAAAAGCATCTTAGAGAGTCAGAGGAGTTGATTTACTAAATCAGGAGAGTGCAAAATCTGGTGCAGCTGTGCATGGTAGCTAATCTGCTTCTAACACCACGGTTACATCAAAGCCGATTTTGAAATCGTGCAGCTTACAGTGAAGTTGCACGATTTCAGTCAGGTGACTTGCCGACGGTGCGGTTCCGACTTGGTGCTCTAATAGTGGACAATAGGGTGCAACTTGGCATACGATTTGCAAGTCGCATGACATGTAAATCGCATGCCAAGTCGCACCCGATGTGACCAGGGTGTTACTTCAGTTGTCCAGTTAAGCATTGACAAAAAAAACCTGGAAGCTGATTGGTTTCTATGCAGAGCTGCACCAGATTTTGCACCTTGCAGTTTTAGTAAATCAAATCCAGAGTGTCTTACGAGTAAAGATGGGCAGAGGTTCACGAATATGTGAAAAACTGCATCAAAACACTTTAAATATATCATCATCTTCAGTACATGATCAAAAAATTCCAAGAATCTGGAGAAATCCCTTTGCAAGGAACAAGGCAGAAATGAAATACAGGCATACCTCGGTTTACGAATTTAATTCGTTCTGCAGGACTTTTCGTATAGCAAAACATTCGTAAACCAAAACACCGTTTCCCATACAGTAGGAATGCATTGAAAACCAATTAAGCCGTTTCGGAGGTCAGAAATAAGTAAACGCTACTAAAATACAGCATGGGTTATTTTATCAAGTCATGCGGTATTTTAGTAGTGACAACAATGTGTTAATGTTTCAGCTGTCAGCAAGAATTGCCCCCCTGAATGTAAAAGGATTCCCACCCCCCTCATCCCCAAAGCACCTTGTCCCCATGGGGACAAGGGCCTCTTCCCCACAACCCTGGCCGGTGGTTGTGGGGGTCTGCGGGCAGGGGGCTTTTCAAAATCTCGACGCTCCTTTAACAAGGGAGCCCCTAGATCCCACCGCCCCCCCATGTCCTTTATTAAAAGAAAAGAATGTCCCCCGCAGATCCAATGTCAATCACAATGACCGTCGCTGCCACTGGCCCGAAAAAAGAATTAACAAAAAAAAAGGCTCTGCTTCCGACGGTGGCTCCTGCCCTCTGCCTGCTCCGGTGGTTTGATAGTTCTTAAATATGTAAGGAGCGGGGCCACCTGGGGACATCACATGCGGTACCATGTACCCCATACTCATACCATGTTGAGGGCATGTGGCCTGGTTTGCTCGGTATGCCCTTTCCTGACCTTCCAGGCTGCATGCTCGGATAAGGGTCTGGTATGGATTTTAGGTGGGGCCCCCATGCCATTTTTTTTATTTTATTTTGACGTGGGTATCCCCCTCAAAATCCATACCAGACACGTCGGGCTGGGTATGGATGGGAGGGGGGACCCTACGCTGTTATTTTTATTTATTATGGTGCCGGTTTTTTAAATGTAATTACCGGTTTTTTTTTTTTTTCTTTCTTTCTTTCTTCACTATAGCTCAGAGATTCAGCTGTCACTTTCCGCCCAGCTAAAAGGGAAAGTTTCCTTTTAGTATATTTGACCGAGTTAAAAGAAACAATCCATTGTAAAACTTTGAGGCCCCTTATGGTTAGTGATTGCCATATAGTAGCTAAGTGTCCTTAATGGCGGTTTACATATATAGCCTGCTAATACAACACACAGTAAGGCATTACACACCTGAAAATGAACTAAACTTAACTGGGTTTCTGCAGTAGTTTGTCTAATGTGTCTTAGATGAGGATCAGATCTCATTTTATGGCAAACACAATGTGCTTAAGCTGATAGCACATAAACAATTTCTAATTTCTTAATTTATTGAAAACACCCATTAAACATTCACATTGCTGGAGGAAAAAGTAAGTGTACCCTTGGTGTTAATAGCTGGCCAAACCACCTTTGGCAGCAGTGACTTCAAACAAGCACTTTTTGGCAGCTCTGGATCATTTCTCAGCATCTCTATAGGGTTATGGTCTGGACTCTGAATAGGCCACTCCAAAAGGCACGCTTTTTTTTTTTTAAAAAACAGTCTGTGGTGGACTTACTTTTATGGGTCATTGTTTTGCTGCATCAGCCAATTTTTACTAAGCTACAGCTGGTGGACAGCTACCCTGACATTATCTCTTGTAGGATATTTTGGTAAACCTAGGAATTTATTTTCCCCTCAATGATAGCAAGTGGTCCAGGCCCTGAGGCAGCAAAGCATGCCCAAATCATGACGTTTCCTCCACCATACTTCACATTTGGGATATTTTAATGTTGGTATGCTGTGCTTTTTTTTGCGCCATACATAGTGCTGAATATTCTTCCCAAACAATTCAACTTTTGTTTCATCAATCCACAAAATATTTCTTCAGTAGCATTATGATTTGCCAAGGTGCTCTGGCAAACTTCAGGTGGGCAGCAAGATTTTTTTTTTTTTTTTTTTGGAGAGTAGCAGATTCCTCAGTTTGTGTGCAGCCAGACACCTTGCCTCTTCAAAGACTTACATATGGTAGACCCATGAACAGGGATGTTTGCCAGTTCCAGTAATGTCTTTAAGCCTTTCGCGGTCACTTGTGGGTTCTTTACCTCATTGAGGATTCTGTGTTGTAGCTTGGGAGTCATCTTGGCTTGTTGCTATAAGTAACCACAGTACTAAACTGTGTCCATTTATAGACAATTTGTCTGTCAAATGATAGGTATCTAAACACTTTGAAATTGCTTTGTCTCCCTTTCCAGCCTTATTCAGATCAACCACTCTTGATCATATATCTTCAGAGATCTCCTTTTTGTGGGGCATAATTAACATCAGCTGATGCTTCTTATGAACAGCAGTCTTAAAATGTTGGAGTGTCTTTTTATCAATCAAGGTAGCACTAAACCACACCTTAAAACTAATTGCACTCCAGGTGTGCAAACTACTGACAGCGTTTGTTGAAGTAATTATTCTATGGGTTCACTTACTTTTTCCAGCAGTGTGAATATTTAAAGAGTGTTTTCAATAAAGGCACAAGAAATTAGATTTTTTTTTGGTGTCATCAGCTTAAGAGGGAATTAAAGCTGCTGTGACACTTTTCTGTCATAAATCCCTCTTGTTAATGTATTGCGCCACATTCATAAAGCATTTGCTACACTTTGGATTCTGACAGCATCACTTTTACATTGTGTCACATTGACTGCACCAGATGTAAAAGTGGAGCTAATCAATAGCAACTCTCTTCTGGCATACAGAGAGAAAAACAGATATTGCAAACATGTCTCACCTGGATTCTAAAAGTGGTGCAGCGTGAGCCAAATTCAAGTACAAGTTCTAGACAGGTACATGAATTTGGTGCATTCTTTACCACTTGAGAGTGCATGAGAGACAATTTTTGCAAAATCTGCCTCCACTAGTCTTTATGAATCCCAGGGATTGTGTGTGTCTGTTGTTGTGATTTAGGCAGGCCATACTTGATTAACTTTTTGCATTCAAACAGCAGATTGAATTAAAAGAAAAAGCCAATTCTTCCAAACACATATCTGATGTGGATGAGGAATCCATCCCACTGAGCTATTAGTGGGGAGCCTTCCCCGCCAGCAGAATACAATGATTAGTGCTGGTGGCACTGATCGTATGCGAAAAACCCAACAGGCTGATTTTACACATGTCAGTCAACTTTTGTAAAACCAGCTAGCCCATACTGAACTGGCTTGATTTTAGTTTATGTATGGCCAGCTTTATATGAGGATCAGATTACATTTTATGGGAAACCAGTTCATTCCAAGGGGTTCACATTCTTGTTCTTGCCACTATTTATGAACAATCCAGTCTAGCATGTAAGGTACACATATGTAGTTAGTGAAACAAAGTAAGCAGTTTCATATATGCAGCCATAGGGAGACAACACAAGCAGCACAGAGGTGATTCAAGTGAAGCAGATCAGCAGGGCAGACTAAGAATAGTAGTAAAGACAGGCATTTAAATTCAAATCTTGGGAGGATTCAAAAGACATATTGGACAGTTTATGCAGGTAATGATAACTCTCTGAGACCTTCACAGATCTCTGCAGGTAACACAGCGTTCCTGACAACTCATGGGGCCCCCGGGCAATAGGGGTTCATGGGGCCCGTGTCCTTACCCAAACTCAAAAAAGCCTATGAAAAAGGTACCAGGGGCATCTCATGAAGCCCCCTACTGACCCCCGGCAGTGCCTGATTTTCCAAATGGTCAGTCTGCCCTTGGTTCCACCCCTCCTGTAGTTTTCTGCAGACAGCCAGTAGTGGTGGGGTCTGAAGGTCCCTCTCACAGTTGTGTCCTCTGCACAGGTTATGTACCACACATTGATAATGCCACTGCTAAAAGGTAATAACTGGGTTTGTAAAGGCATTTGGCACGCACAAAGTAAATTTATATCCTTATTGGCTAATGAGGAATATGTTTAAATTAAAATATTTGTGCATGGGGTTCAGTTTTAAGACTGGGAATGGCTAGCAAAAATGTATAGTTAAGCGACACACACCATGTGCATTGCACACTAAATTTAGACTTATAGGTTTAAGTGTCTGTAGTAATTCTTTTGTTTGCTTTTCTGTATAGGATCATTACCGTGGATGGGATTGTGGATAAAGCCAAAAGGGGACGCTATTATGAAAAGCCATGTTTGCAGAAAAAGAGGATTAAATATGAGACCTGTAAACGCATCTATAACTTTGAAATGAGCCGTAAAGTAGCATTTCTATCCCGCACGACTCGGCAGGACCCTTGGCCAGGGTGCTAGGAGTTTCTCAATTTATATCCAGCCAAAGACTGTATTTCATCTGAGTTTGTGTTGTCTTGTTTCCAATTTCTTAAAAACCTTCAGGCTGGTTTCACTGCTCTGCTTCGGTACTTCGTTAATTAAAAATTCCTTGATTCATTTACATAGGTTTGCCAACATACCAAAACACAATAATAAAAAAAAAAAAAAACCTGCATATCTTGTTCTGATGCAGTGCATTACAGCACACAGTGGCAGGCAGGAACACAGGTGCATTGATTTGTTATCAAAATAACACAATGCACCAATGTACATAATGTGTGTTACTACAATGCAGTGCTGTGAAGGGGCCCTAATTCAGATATTTGATATGAGGGGCTGGTAACGCAAAGTTTTTTACCATTGGAAGCATGTCTTGCAAAATATTTTTTTCTTCTAAAATCTGTACTAATGCTTAGTGGAGAATCTGTATACAATAAGTCAGAATGTAATTTTTCCAGGAGTGTATATTACAGTCTTTGATACATTTGCTGTACCAGAAAGAACTGGAAAAGGAAAGGCTTGCCTTAAAAGTGATGCATGCATAGTTTACAGAAATTGTTCACAACCAGTGTATATTTGGTGAACACATTTACGCCAGTTTACCCATATAGAGCCAGGTATTCCTGACTTTATGCCACCATCTTGCCTTTCATATAGCAGAGAGAAGCAAGTGGACATGGCAGCCAGAAGGAACTGTGCACATGGGATGGCTGTAATACATTACATCACAACTGTGGCCAATTTAACTCCGTTTGCTAAGTTTGAAAGACAGCAAGGCCTGTCAAACCCACCCATTGAAGTGAAATAGGTCTGCTTCACAACTGTGGGCCAAACACTTGGCTCACATTTGCAGTACGATGTTTCAATGCAAAAACCCTGTTGACTTATTAATATATAATTTTGTGCTATCATCCTTAGAAAATTAAACACAGCTTTGTGAAAATGTGCACAAAACACCTCTAAAAACAATACTATAAATCAAAAGTATCCTTATAGAAAATTTTCAGTAAAATGAAAAATTATTTTTTTCCAATTGCAATTAGTTTGAAAACAAAAACACTTTAATGAATTTTAACGCACAAAAAAACACTATATAATATCAATTGCTTGGTAAAATATAAAAGATGATGTTACACCGACTAAATAGATATCCAACATGTCACGCTTTAAAATTGCACAAACTCGTGGAATGGCGACAAACTACGGTATGTAAAGTCTCCATATGCAACGCTTTAAAAGCCTTTACAGGTTACCGGTTTAGAGTTCCCAAGATCAGTTTGATCAGATGCTGCTACAAGCCAGTAATTGCTTTTTTGCATCTTGACAAAACTAGGAGTACCAAAACACTAGTTTTCTTCTGGTTTATCATACCGTAGAAATGATCAGGGACGTTCTTGATCATCTCCATGGTAGGCCGATGGAACCACTTGACTTCAGTCCCGAGCTCCTCAGCAGACCAGGGAGCCCAGAAAAGCTCCAGAAGTGGGGGGGCCCTGTATATTGTAAAAGCGATCCAGTGACTGATTAGCTGCTAAGATCGCTTTTATAAAAAAGTGCATCTCTGGCAGAAAAAAAAAAAAAAAAAAGATACGGGATGATGCCTCTAGCTGCAGGCATCATCATCCCAGTATAACCACTTTAACCTGGCGATGTACGGGTACGTCGCAGAGGCTGAAGTGGTCAAAACACACCCTGCTTTTTGCCCTTAACTTCCTTACCCTAGATTTACACCTAAGCATTTTCGGCAGCGTTTTACAGAAACGCAGTACAGTCCATTTAACATGATTTCCTATGGGACATGTTCAAATCTCAATTTCACCCAATGCGTTTTTTGGAAAGGGTCAGGGACTTTTTTTTTACGTAAAAAGTTGCATTTTTGGTTCTATAGACTTCAATGGAAACGCTGCAGAAAAGCATGTACCGTGTTTCCCTGAAAATAAGACACTGTCTTATATTTATTTTTCCTCAAGAAGACACACTATGGCTTATTTTCAGGGGATGTCTTATTTTTATTAAGTATGGTAAGTGTGGGGAGCAGCAGCTTTACTGGTGCTTGTGGGGGATGAGAGAGACCCACAGACTGTTGCTGGGGGAGAGAGACCCACAGTGCTGAGTAAAACAACAGGCACAGCTTTACTTCTTCCCCCTGAGGACACACAATACGGTACCTAAAGCAGAGCGTCCTTGCGCCTCACTTCACTGAGGAGACTTTCACTTTCTACCTCTTCACTGTCTCCCTCTATGAATCAGCTTGCAGCACGCACAGAATGACTGGGAGCCGACCTTGTTGATGGGGCTGCCCGTAACCTTTCTGTTCACCTCCGAGATAGCAGCTGTCACAATGGGGGAAATGAGAAGGGCTTGCCCGTCCATCACTATGTCTTATATTGGGGGTATGACTTATATTGCGCAAATGCTTAGAATTCCTGCTACGGCTTATTTTATGGGTATGTCTTATTTTTGGGGAAACATGGTAGTGCATTTTTGATGCGCTTTGTACTTTAAATCTGCATAGCAACAAGAAAATTTAAAAAAATAAACAAGTAAAAAAACGCAATGCAGAAACGGCTCAAATGCAACCTGCATAGGTGTGAACCTAGTGCTGCAGTGCTTTCTAAAACCAAATTTTAGAGTGGACTTTATTCATAATCACTTTTTATGTTTTACACGATATACATTTTATGTTTGATTTATAGTAAAATCTTTATTGAGCTGGAAAAAAAAACCCAGCTCCCCAAAAAAAACTATTAGGAGGCAACAGGATTGCATTCTGGAGGCTGTTGCTCTAAAAAGTGTTTGCCCATAGATCGCTTTCCAGTCAACAGTGGAAATAAGCCTGTGTCCATCTTCAACCAGAACCTTCTTTAACCACTTGCCCTCCTGAGGATTTACCCCCCCTTCCTGACCAGGCCATTTTTTGCGTTACGGCGCTGCGTTAATTTAACGGATAATTGTGCGGTCATGCAAAGCTGCACTCAAATGAAATTTACGTCCTTTTTTTACCCACAAATTTTTTTTATTTTTTGCGCTATAAAAACCAACAATTTTGAGAAAAAAATATTTTTGACTTTTTGCTATTAAACATGTCCAGTAAAAAAAGTTTAAAAATATCTAATTTTGTCAAATTTACACCAAAATGTATGCTGCTACATGTCTTTGCTAAACAAAAATCCCAATACATGTAAATTAATTGGTTTACGTGAAAGTTATAGCATTTACAAATGGAGGTATATATACTGGAATTTTTTTTTAATTATTATTTTTACTAGTAATGATCAGCAACTTTTATAGCGGGACTGCAGTGGACATCCTGACACTGGGGGGAACTGACTTGGGGTCACTGACATCCCCAGAGACACCAATACAATGATCAGTACTAAAAAAAAAAAAAAAAAAGCACTCACACTGTACTAATGGCACTGGTCAGGAAGGGGTTAACATGCGGGGCGATTAAGGGTTAAGGGAGTGTTTTTACAAGGGGGCCATGTCTGTGTGCTTTACTGTAATCACGCTGCTCTGGATGGCTGTGCTGTGTACAGCCATCCAGAGGAGTGTGCCAAGCTGACAGGGAGGAGGACTGTTAATAAACAAAACAGTGCTCCTCCCCGTCAGAGAGCTTTGGAAATCATGGGGTGCCGGCGAGTAATTACTGGCCCGGGACCCAGTGATTGACAGACGCTGTCACAGTGTGAGGAAAGTACTGCCGATAACCGGCAATTGTCAGAGGAGGGATTGACACCAATCATCAGCACTGATGATCGCTGCCCAGCAGTGCGCCAGTCAGTGCTGTCTATCAGTGCCCATCATTGTTGCATATCAGTGCTGCTCATCAGTGTAGCCTCATCAACGCACATCAGCGAAGGAGAAAAATTACCTGTTTGCAAAATGTTGTAATAGAAACAAAGAACATTTTTTTTTTCAAAATTTTTGCTCTTTTTTTGTTTATAGTGCAAAAAAAAACCACCCAGAGGCGAGTACATACCACCAAAATGAAAGCTCTATTTGTGTGAAAAAAATGATAAAAATTTCATATGGATACAGTGTTGCATGACTGCGCAATTGTCACTCAAAGTGCGACAGCGCTGAAAGCTGAAAATTGGCCTGGGCACGAAGGGGGTATAAGTGCCTGGTAGGCACGTGGTTAATTTTAAAAAAAAATCATTTGTTAGGGGCAGGAGGAAGCAACCTTGGGTGTGTTTTTTTTTTTTAAGCTGGCCTTCAGAAAGTTTTGTGAATGCTACTAGGGGAAAAAAAAGTCATGCCAAAAAAAAACCTGCATAACAAATGCATGTAAGAAGCACATGCGGAACTGCACACTGAATGTGGGGATTGCTATATAAAAGAGTGCTACCTCTAAAATGTGCTATTGTAGGTAGCACAGGGTCTACATTCAAATAAATAATATTCCAGCACTATCAAACTACTGTGCTCTAGGAGCAGCTTCTATTTTATTTTACAGTGTAGCGCTCTTCAAAAAAGTTATATATGCAAATCAAGATTATCACCCATATATTATCTAAATTATTATTCATACTGTGATATGGGGTTATTAGCTCTCATGGTAGATGTGTTATTTTGAGTTCACGGCCGACAGGAGCAAAAGTTCACAAAACAAACGACTTACCATGCGGGGATCTTTTCCAACTTCAGCAGAAATACAAACACTGAAGAAGGCCGGGCCACCTCATAAGTTTACTCGGCTTCATTTGCAGTACCACGATGTACCTCTTCCCAGTCTCGGACTGTATTGTCCAATTCTCATGGATACTTGGCTCTCTGGTTTATAGTCACAGTGCCCTGCTGCACGGCCCACCTCTGGCCTATGGGTTCGGGTTCTCCTGACACCCCGATAGGAGTGAGCCTGACTCCTGGAACGGAGACCCTTAGTCTCGTGGCTTCTGGCTGTGTCCTCTGACCTCT